CGAGCCAGTGCTGAAGCTGCTGCTTGAGCATGGTGCTGATCCAGGAGACAATGGTGGCAGAGCTCTGAAGCTTGCTGCTGGAAGGGGAGACGAGGCAGTACTGAAGCTGCTGCTTGAGCATGGTGCTGATCCACGGGCCGCAGACAATGATGGCTGGACAGCTTCGATGGCAGCTGCTGAACATGGACACGAGCCAATGCTGAAGCTGCTACTTGAGCATGGTGCTGATCCACGGGCCGCAATGCATGATGGCAGGACAGCTCTGATGTTTGCTGCTGCAGAATTACATGAGCCAGTGCTGAAGATGCTGCTTGAGCATAGTGCTGATCCAGGGGTCGCAGACAATTATGGCTGGACAGCTCTGATGCCTGCTGCTTTATGGGGACACGAGCCAATGCTGAAGCTGCTACTTGAGCATGGTGCTGATCCACAGGCCGCAGAGAATCATGGCAGGACAGCTCTGATGCTTGCTGCTGAGAGTGGACGCGAGTCAGCGGTGAAGCTGCTGCTTGAGCATGGTGCTGATCCAGGAGTCGCAGACAATGATGGCTGGACAGCTCTGATGCTTGCTGCTGCATATGGACACGAGCCAGTGCGGAAGCTGCTGCTTCAGCATGGAGCTGATCCAGGAACAATGACGCAAGCACGCGCGTCAGTTGTGCCCCTGGGAATGATGCTGGACAGCCCTGATGAAAGCTGCTGAAAATGGACACGAGTTGATACAGCCTTGACGCTTGCTTTGGGTGATGGCCGTTTCTTCTTCTTTGTAATGTTGTTGCCAACTAGCTGCTAGTATAGAGCAGGTGCTGGCTTCACAAAACTTTGCAGCACCAGCTTGCGGCGGTCTAGGTTCTGGGTCTCCAAAGATTAGTAACGCCGGAATTCCGGTGACTTGATCCAGCTGCCGGTCATGTTTCAATGCAAACGTGTAAGTATTGTGTCTCTTCTGAGGACTTCTTGTTGTTCTCCGTCACATCATGTTTCACGGAAACTGTTTTGGCCGATAGCTGGTGGCCTCTATACCGGTATACTGTTTTGTGCCTTTGCAGCTGTTGCCCTTGGAAAACTTCACGACCGCTCGGCAAGCGGTTGCTGTGCGCGAGGCCCACGGTCCAGCACGCCTGACGGAGCACGGTGCAGAGCTCTTCTGGGACACTCGCGCTGTCATTCATCGCTGTTCATCGCATGTTAAAACATGTTAAGCTGTTGGTGTGATTCTGCAGATGCCTGCGGGTGTTGCAGGTGTGGTGCGGTTCTTATAGAGTTGCCAAGGTTGTTCACTGCTGACATGTCAGGCAAAAACTGAGGCTTCAGACAAACCCAGTGAGTATACACGTCAAATTCCGGGGCACTCCACCCCCCAAAAAAAAGAAAGCACAACCCTCCGGACGACCTGGGCACCGAACTCCGTGGACCGTTTGTGGAACTATACTTGTTACACGAGTCGAATGAATCGATGAGCAGAACTTCTGGGCCATCGATGAACCGAATGTTCTTCGCCACGAAGATCGCGTCACGACGACGTTCTTTTCCGATGGAGACGCCACGAACCATCGCAGGATCGTTCTATGGTTCTTTTTGCCTTGTTCTTGTTTTTCCGGGGCATATATGTTTTGATTATTGAGGTGACGGAACTGTTGGAAAAAGAAGTTGGGCTATTGTCTAAAGCACCAGAGTATGGTGGAAACAAGCTTCATATGGGGCATGAGGTAGGAATAATGGTTGTTTTCTCCAATCACTTTCAACATCGATCCTGAAAGTCATTCTGGGTGGTGGCCTTCCTGCAAAAAAAACGAATGTGTATTTGTGCGGGTGATTTTAGCATATGTTGTCCCAGGCTCGGTGAACTCCCCCCTTCCTGGGAGCCGGCTGGGAGCGGAGCGTGGGCACGGTGTCACTGCTGTCGCCGGTGAGGCCAACAGTCCCGTGGACGTGCCACGGTTGGATGACGAGGCAGGGCTGAGCGCGGCAGGGCGTGCGTCACGGAGCGCGGCGTGACGCACGCGGAAACCCGTGACGTCACGGTTTTTGCAGCAAGAAGATTCCATGAATCGACGGAGACGTCACGGTGTTTCCCAAGTGTTTTTCTTGTTCAAGTCTGTTTAACACTTGCATCGCTTGTCGAGTGACTCCATCAGTTTTTGTGCTCCAGCATTTCCAGCATCCAGTTTGTTCCGACTCCGCCAAAAGTGCGGAGATTTTGGGTGCGACATTCCGCGCGACTTGTGCTGCTGACAGCGCCGCCATGGGTTGCGCCTGCAGCAAGCAGCAGGCATCGCAGCCGCAGCATGTTCAGCGGCCTGCCGTGCAGGTTGCTCGCTTCAAGCAGGGGGGAGTTTCTTCTTATACTGCCTATACTGTCATAGTTGCTAGATAAGGCTGGTGAACTGGGTGACCTTCAAAATCCTTCAAGCATGGATGTTTGAGACCAAGATTGAACAGGACGCACCCACCCAGAATTGCTAGGCGGCGCCGGCTAGACCTTGGAATCATGTTGACTCTTCGTGTTGGTTCCGAGGCCTCTCAGGACTCCGATTTTCCGCGCCTCCTGGGCGCCAATGGAGCAGGAGCTGGTGCAGGCTCCATTCCCACTTTGAGATGTTGAAAAACCCTGTGAAACCATAAGCAGATATCTCATATCTCAACTGTCACAAGGTTCCTTTGGCTTTGAGGAAAATGAAGCCAAAGTCCCGAATCTCTCAAGAACTTCTATCATAACAAGTTAATTTCATTGGAGCCAGAATGAAGCAACGACTGTATCTCCAGGCGCTATGTGTGGAGAGGAAAGTGCAAAGCATGCAGCTGGAGCCAGCAGTTCTTGCCAGCAGGCAGCTACTGAAGGCACGGCTGACTCTTTGCATGTTGCATACTTTGGCGTTCCAGATTGAACTCCAAAACGTATGAAGAGTTTAGCGAATTTCACTTTCGCTCGAACAAGATTGTCAAGCTTATCCATGCCAAGATCCAGGTTCAGCTGTTCCGTCACTCTCAAAACATGCTGTTTTGCCGCACTGTGTTCTTCTAGCGGATAGTTCCATTCCCCACCGCCAACACGAGAAACGGAACCCCTGTCGTTGACCGCATGTTTGCTGTGACGACGCATATCTGTCGTAGGCGACATCAGTCAGCAGCCTGGCAATTCATCGGAAGTCCGGCCAGAGCAGCAGGCTCTCCGCGTCGCGCGGATGCAAGAGAGATGAATTGTATATACAGTAGCAAGAGTCCTTGGGCTGCTGGGCGAGGGTCAAGATGAACAGAAAAGTGACATCAAGGAAGTGAGCAAAACAGTTCATGCACTTTGACAGATAATCAACAAGTTTCATTGTTCTGCCAGTATAATGCAATCTCCAAACAAAAGTTGGCTTTGCACTTGACATGGTCCGCTTTGGTTTCCCCAGGATGTAATGGTGTCATTGGAGGATGAAGAGTTTGGCGTGACGAATTCCTCCTGGCTCTGTTGCGCTGAGCGAACACCTTGGGAAGCGGAATTGCTGCAGGTGCGGCATGCGGCAAGCGAGAACAAGTCGTAGCAGTTCAGGTGATGTTTCACATGTTTGCCAAAGCTTTCCATCTAATCAAGGCCTCTTTGGCAGCTATATGATTAGGCATTCTGGCGTGAACTCACTCCCTGTGGGAAACCCCATTCAATCACACCCAAGACTGTTCTGAACCTTTCTGAACTTCTCTTATAGTCATCAGTATGTAATCCATCCCAAAAGGTCGACCGAAGCCAGAAAGCTGAAGCTCAAAACAGGTCTCCGCCGAGTTGAAGGACAAGCTCCAAGATCCACACTTCGTGGCCATGCGCTGCGACCTCGACAGCTCCGGCGATTTGGACGCGCATGAGCTGAAGCTGCTTGGGCGACAGATGTCCGACACGACACATGGGACTGTCATATATAGTTGACCCCTCAAACCATCCCGATGTAGGTTACATATACCAGTCCCATTTGTCGTGTCTGGGATAGTATTCACTTTCCCTGAAATGCGATGAAAGTCGTCAATTCTTGACGTCGTGACGTCAATTATTCAGAACAGACAGTTGGCGGGTGCCACTCTGGAATTCCAATATGTTCACATATGAAGTCGAAACTGTGTTGATCATGGAGGCCGATATATCCCTGCTTAACCCTAAGGTCACTCTCCAACGTTCATATTTAAATCTTGTGATCGATCATTGGTCTAATAAGAATAATAACAAGAAGGACAAGGAGTGAGTTCTACCATTGTTCCGTTTTGCCCCGTGCGTCCACCACTCTGGGCCATCCGAGGCAAGCGGCCAGAGTCTTCGGCATGCGGCCATCTGAGGAAGAACTTCAACAGCTCATGGCCAACCAGCCACGAATCAACAAGGCAAGGCCGTGGCGGCCGCTGAGACGAGAAAACATGGGAATTTTGTTGAGAAAACCATGTCATGTCCCATGTCATTTCCCATGTTGTGTTGGATCGGTGACGGAATTTCTTTGGGGACCATTTTTTTGTACCCAAAACAAACACTTCCAAGACAGGCACTGTGTGCTGTGTGTGCTGTGCTTCTTCCTTTCGGAGTTTGGAACGAACTGGGAGCCGAAGATCCCCCGACAGGAGCGCTTCGCCGAGATCGTCCGAGACTTTCAACAGCGATCCGGATCAGCCAAGTCGCAGAGAAACTTGACCTGTGCACAGAGCTTGGCCGCGTCCGGGTTCAGGTGATCGTACTGAACATGACTGCATGGTGAGTGTTTTATTGATTAACGTAGTCACGAAAGCTAGCACCAGCTAGCTGGAGTTGTCCTTGCTTTAGCAAGTGAGGGGCTGGAATCCTCGGGATCGCCGCATCACGTGAAAACTTCATATGTAGGGGGGGCCCCCCCCCCGTGGGTTCAACTCCTCCCTCGGACGCCTCTGGGACACCCCTCGGGCATCTCTTATGGCATCCACTTTGGCTTAACTCCTCCGGGATACGGTGCAACAGATTCAACAAGCTCACATGTTCATGACATCGACATCGATAGAAGAAACCAAACAAATCATGCAAGCAGCTTTGTTTTGCCTCTGGGACACCTCTTGGGTACCTCTTATGGCATCCACACTGGTTCAACTCCTCCGTGGAGGTTTTGGGATACGGTGCAACAGATTCAACAAGCTCACAGGTTCGTGAACACATCGGATGCATCGAACAGTGTGGCAAAGTCCAGCCACGCTTCCTTAATTATCGGGACTTCAATTCTAAGGTTGGCTGTGTCATTGCTGTTTGTGTGTCTTACATGTTCACAACGTTTTACCTCATGAGCATTTGCCTCACTCCGCTTGATGTCCCACCAGTCCGGATGCACCCCTGCTAGCTTTCGTCACCTACCCTCGGCCTCAAGTAATTATATACAGTGAAGTTCATTGAAGCACCACTATATGTCTTCATTGGCGTGGCCTCAAGAGTCAAGAGGCCAAACAACCTTCAATAAGTAGTTTCAGCCATGTGTTGATGGAGTTCGTTGACAGGATGAGAGACTTCATCGAAAATTCTCAATGCACCGTGCAGTCAGTGGAAGTGAAAGTTCTGCTTTGCACTTGAGGAGTGGTTCCCCACTCCTTGCGCGGCATGGCTCTGGGTCAGTTGCAGCACTTGGAGAAGATCTTCGTGACATCTGGGTGGTTGGGCAAGCAGTGTGATGCTCGTCCAAAGAAACGAGGCAACTGTTTGTGGGAGCAGGACTTGTGCAGAGC